CTTTAGTCTTCAAAGCTAACACAGGCAATAAATGTTTTGACATGAAAAAAAAATCATCTAGCCCGGGTAAGTTGTGTACTTGGGTATGAATACCACATGGGTGCATAAATCATTATATCGCTATTTTTACTTATTTAACACATCACTCTTATTTACGTAGTAAACAATAGTTTCGCCATGTCCGGCTGTCCATGTTAGCTTAAAAACTATTAGTACAAGAAAGTTATAATTTTGCATGAGTATACACGTTCATTACGCCGACAAAGACAAGTTAAAATTTGAAAAAAAAAAATTAAGGTACCTCTCCTGCTTATAAAGTGGGGATGATATTTCTTTTTCGTTTTCCATACAGTGTGGGAATCTTTGGATAGACCTTTACAAACATTGGGGTTATGGAAAGGCCGTTTTTCGATTTTGTAAACCGTTTGTTACTTAATAAGCTTGCACGAAAGGATAGAGATAAAAGCGCTGTGTACATAAATTAAGTTGCGAAACTGTTTATAAAGAAAGATATGATACGTTTGTTCGACACAAATATTATGGTGGCATTCTTCCAAGTTCATTCATAAGACATTTCTCAAATAGGATATAAAATTTTCCTCGGTCAATGAATTTATTATTTTATAGCATCTAGCGTGAATACCTAAAGGCAAGATGTGCTAAAAAGCTAAAAATATCTATTGGTGAATTAAGATAATAATAAATAAATAATTATAAAAGATCGCATAGGTACATCTTAACCGACAGCAGGTTGACGAAAAAAATGTAGTACTCCCATTCCGAAAAACTGCTTTTGATCGTTTTAATAATATAATTGTATTCTGCATACATTATGCTGTATCCCGTAGCGGTTTATAAAACCACCGTTGATAACCATTCCTTTAAACAAATGACATTTATATATGTAGTAGATAATTTTATTTATTATCGAATCCATATTGAGTATGTAATGAACAAACACAGCAGTGATAAAAAGCATTCAGATAATAATTCTATTAGTGTAATAGTTGAAAAAGCATAAAATACAAAGAACATAAAACCTGGTAAATTTTCATGTAATTTGATGGTTTCTCGAGCGGATTCTTGTGGCTCGTTTAGTATTTTATTATAGCCTTCAACATAAAGATCCGATACAGAATAAAAAATGAAATTGTTTTGTTCACTATGAACTTGACATTAGTGTTTTGCTTTATACAATTTATATTCCCTTTTGAGATAACAATAGTCTACTCGAACGCCTACGTAAAGTATTCCCCTAGAAGGAACAAAATACCGCCTACGCTCGACTGACCTTAACGTGAAATTCTAAACTCTATAGCCCTCAGTTTGAGTCCACTTTTCTAAATTCAATTGAATTAAATTGGCGTTAGTCTAGTGCGGGGGCAGCAAAATAGGTATTGAAAATTAACTCAACATGTTTACTTAGTTATTACAACGTTAGATATTACTTTAAAGAATTTCAAGCTCCCAAGAGCAATGAATAAGTAGTATATATGATAATAACAAGGGTCGGCAGGATTTAATCATCATAATGGTAATTTGGGACATCGTTCAACTATCGTAAAACTTATGTAGTTAATATAATTCTGGGTGACACGGCAAACTTCGTACCGGCTAATATGTATGGGATTATAGGGGTGAAAATTCTTGGTTTTCTTTTTCTTCTCCCACTTTTTCTTATTTAAATTAATAAGTTTTTTATCTGATTTTTCCCACCCGTCTCAAAATATTTGATTTTATATGAATATATAAATATGAATCTTGAACCAAAAAATCTCCCTAAAAAATAATAATAAATCTAATCAAAATAAGCTCAACAAAACAAAATTCTCATTGCACTCGAGGGACCGACATTTGTATTTAAAGATTATTTGTATACTTTTTAGTGATTTTTTAAATGATGTCTTTTGTTTTGCTTTATACAAATAAAAAAATATATCGAGTATATCTTAAAATGATCTTACCAAAAAGGACTAATATAAAAATTCTAATCAAATCGAACCATTCGTTTCAAAGCTATTATGCTGTAAGTGCAAATAATTTAAAAAAGAAATAGTTTCTGACAAAAACTTGTAACCCTTAACAGCGGCAATTTAACTGGTTATCAACTTTTCATACATCAGCTAGCTAGCTAGTTTATAATAATCATATAAGTAATTAATTTATATTAATTACTGATGAATAACAAACTGATTTCGATTGAAATTTGTTTTTAAAGCCATTATCGATTTATGTAATTTAAACGAATATTTTAGCATCGCATCTCACTATTAAGTGAAGAATTATGGATATCCAAAGTGTCTTTTTGTCGTTTGAAACCGATTGTAGAGTACCGATTTTTACAAAATATCGGTTTTAAGTATACACTGTCCAAAAAACCTGGTGTCATTATTTCTATTATTGACATTTCAATTTAGTTTCTGAGATTTAAAAACAGACTAATATTTTAATTTAACTTAAAAATTTAGCACAAATATCTAGTTTGTGTAATAGAATTGTTATACAAACTGTTATAATTTATTATAGAAACAAACCAATCTTAATCTTCTCGATTTCAAATACTCAAATTTATGATGTAATGAAACGGATTAGGTATAAACTTGAACAATTCGATAAATTAATACCCTTCAAAGATAAACTTATCGAATGTCAAACAAAAATCGACGTAGCGAGTTTAAGACGTGGATTAACAAATATTAAATTGAAAAAGATTGCAATTTATATTCAAAATCCGCGAAGCATATTCAGAATAGTAGAAAGAAACATTTTTTTTCCTAAAAAATCACATGTGGACTAACGAAGAATTTGGTGGCGGATTAGTAGGTACGTTATCTAGTTCGATTTACGATGCGGAAGTTACACCACTCTGGCAATGGTCTGTCACAGAATTGGTGACCAACAATAATTTATCTCGAGTTCCTCTGTATTCCGGAAGGCAAACTTGTTTCAGCCGGCCACTGGTTTAAGCGAATTATGAACTTTAGTCTTTGTTCTTTAATAAGATGGCAGGTCTTTAGTACGAGTATTATATACAGTTAAATAATATAGAGATAATCTATGTTAAATTACAAATTTAAAATTTATTGCTGCCTTCATTTGTTTATACGATATATTTTTTTCACGATGATGAAAATGTCACCTTCCGTAAGTGTATGTAGAAAATAAATGATATATAAAATTCACTTTACTCCGTTCTTAACAGCATCAGGTACTATTATGTAAAAAAATCAGCTTTAATCTCGACATCGAGCACAGCGCTGTTACATCATACAGATTCAGTCCAATAAAAATAGTAATATTCTATTGTCACACCATTTTTAACAGTTAAAGTTTTTTACGTGAAATTTACAAATTAAATATATCACGATAGTGTAGCAATTGGCGGTCTTATCGCTAACAGCGATTTCTACCAGACAACCTTTGGATAGAGAAGAATGAATAGCGGTTATGAAAAACGGAGGTGTAAAGTAAGAGTATATAAATTCAAGATAAATAAGTAACATTTAGTAAAAATACATTAATTCTTATAAGATAAAATCTACTGCAAATGATAATAGAGGTTTTATTTCATTGAACCTTTATGCAACCGGGATCAACGGTTTGATCAAAACTATAACTAAGATATAAACTAGCTCTTATTCCGAGAATTCACACAAACAAACAAAGTAAGAAGTATTACCTCCTTAAAACATTAGTATAGATAAAACATAAAACATAAAAGTATGTAGTCGAGAACTAATCATCTCTACAAACAACACTCGTTCGCTCGCGTACGATGCCATTATCAAACTTAATCAGACTGTTTCTACTTGGAAATTGTAATACGAAATATCACAGAGTTCCACTTAAAAGTTTTGAAATGTTAACCGAGTCGTATAACACATGTATTTAAGTATGAAACACGATGTTACGTCAATGACAAGGTAAAGTTTACTTTTCTTGTATGCGCTTAAGGCGAAACCGTGTGCTTACTTTGTTTATAGCTTTTGCATAAATTTTGTTGTGATTATTATATTTGTTCAATTTTGCATTGATAATGCTATACTGAAAAATTTTCTTATGGTTAATAAATAGTAAGAGCAGTCGCTCAGATAGCGAAAGGTCATGGGTTCGTGTTCAATCCCAGAATGTCAGGGACAAAGTGGATTTCTTAAGCCTTTTTCATTAAGAATATTGTAAAAAATTTCAATTAGGTAGGTAATTGTGCATGGGACTTTAAGAAAAATATAAATAATATTGGAATATAATGATTCCATATAAAAATATTCTTGGCACGTTTATTTTTTACTTTTATTCGTGAAATCTAAAATAAAGTAGATAGTAAAATAAATAGATGATTTGTGATCGTTAAAAATGGCTTATATTTTTTCATCTCGCCAACGGCTTCGATATCGTGGTTCTTTATTAATAAAACTTCCTCTTTTATCATTCTGTATATTAAAATGCCAGGACCTGTGGCCACGACGACGTAGTTTAAAAGATCTCAGCGTACAGACAACGAGAAGCGGCTTTGTTTTATACTATGTAGGTCTTATAGGTACTGATCGAAAACCGTTTTCAAAAAATCGAGCATTTGATAGCTGTTTCTTTCTAACCACCTGATTTCAAATGAAGTTTGTTGAATTTGTAACCACCTTTGTACTTTTAAGGATTATTTTTGTAATGATTTTGAATTTATTAATATAATTATTCAGATGTGGCTTCACCAGGATGTGTGGGTTATATTAGGCGCTATTTATATTCGTAAAAAGTTTTAATAAATGTATAATGATTATTATAACGTAATGATGAAAATACCTTTTATTATTAAAGTATCATGCCATTTCGGCTCTCCTTTCGACACGCCGACCTCGCTTTTTATTATCAACATATTTTCTATTGAGTCCTAGAGTTTAATGCAAGAGTATATCAATGGTCTCTAACCACCATATCACTTATTTAAAATTAGAGACAGAACTTTATGTCTTCTGCAATACCTAAAATAAAACAAATTGTTGCAGACGTTCTGCGTGGTATCAAAGCGGTTCCGTAAGAACTATATACACCGGTTCACGGCGACCAGGTCATTGTTCTGGTGGTCACCGTGGTCGCCGGTACGCCGCGCGTGCGTCTACCTCTCCACCAACCAGTACTTCGACTACTTCGTCATGGCTACCATTCTGCTCAACTGTGTCTTCCTCGCCATGTCGGAGACAATCGAAGAAGCTGAGTGAGTATTTCTCTTATATATTCTTTTGCAGGCTTGGTATTTGTCGTGGAATTGCTTGAAGCACAGTTGCTGCTTCCTGGTGAGCGTCGCCCCTGTCGCTCACTGTTATTGGAGACATACCCAATTGAACCAATACCTTTTGATGGATGAGACCAGGATTACCGAATCGAGAATCGCCAGAACCTTTTATGTGCTTACATAATTTAAAGCAACGAGGTCACTAAAGTTTTGATTTTTCAAACTGTCGCATTGAATGTTCTGTCGGGCTAACAAATCAACTTTTAGAGCTTCATTTTAAGCTATACATGACACGTTTGAAAACGTCATAGTGAATACAACCAGTTCTTCTAAGTTACTGAATTGCAATGATGAATCTAATTGTAAAAGAAGAGTCTTGGTCTGTTCGTATTCCTACATCTTTAAATATTGTTGATCAGTATTGTCATTCATTCATATACCAATACTTCCCATATCCGTGCTTAGAGCCTGTTAATAATTTAAACGCTAAGACATTTTGTTTATACATTATTGATTCATTATTTCCACTCACATCACTAATTCAATTTAACGACTTTTGAATATATCTCCTTATCTTATCTTATCCTATACATAAAAATAAAAATAAATCACCAAAATACATAATGCACGATAACTTAGTTGAACCAAAGTGCAGACTACGCAGTTATACATTTTAGGATCACAATCGAGGTGCGGGGGTGAGACGCAGTGCGTAACCATAGCAACGAAAGTCCAAGACTGTAGCTGCGCGGAGAATCGCCACTTTTATTACGTTATATACGCATATCAAAATGACTGCACCAAATTATACAATTTTTTTTTGAATTATTAAGTGTTGTTATTATCAATCCTAGAGATTTGTATATATTTTTTTTATTGCTCGGGAAGCCGTAAATAAGATATCCTCTTTTCCGTCATTTTAAGTCGCAATATAATAGATAGGGTCATTTTGACAAATAACCATCAAATACAAAACTAGAATCTAATAAATGTTATTTACCAATCTGTATCATCTGAATCCATCATAAACAACTTCAATATTACCAATATTACAATTTTAGTTTTAAACGAAAGCTTGTCTCTTTTTATTAGGTACGCTACCCATATGTAGTTACATAAAGAAAACAAAGATTATTTAAAAACCCAATTTATTCCCATATAAACTTATTTTAATGTTTAATTGAGCGTGTCGGGTAGATTAACGGCCGGAGAAGGTGCGATGACTTCAGGCTCAGGGACAATGACCTCAGGAGCGGGCGCAACAATGACTGGTTCAGGAGCTGGAGCAATCACAACTGGTTCAGGAACAATGACCTCGGGAGCAGGCGCAACGATGACTGGTTCAGGAGCAGGTGCGATCACAACTGGCTCAGGGACAATGACCTCAGGAGCGGGCGCAACAATGACTGGTTCAGGAGCTGGAGCAATCACAACTGGTTCAGGAACAATGACCTCGGGAGCAGGCGCAACGATGACTGGTTCAGGAGCAGGTGCGATCACAACTGGCTCAGGAACAATGACCTCGGGAGCAGGCGCAACGATGACTGGTTCAGGAGCAGGAGCGATCACAACTGGCTCAGGAACAACGACCTCGGGAGCAGGCGCAACGATGACTGGTTCAGGAACGGGAGCGATGACGATTGGTTCCGGAACGGGTCCGATGACGATTGGCTCTGGAACGGGTCCGATGACGATTGGCTCCGGAACGGGACCGATGACGATTGGCTCCGGAACGGGTCCGATGACGATTGGCTCCGGAACGGGTCCGATGATGATCGGCTGTGGGATAGGGATCTCGGGCTGCTCAACTACGATAACGGGAGAAGGTGCGATTTCTTCGGGGACAACAACAGGGGAAGGGGATACAACAGGAGTGTCAGAGACCTGGTTGATGTTCAAGATGATCTGAACAAGAGGAGCACTGCTAGGCGGGCTGGCGGGTGCTTGTTCAGGCACCATCACTGGTGTGGGGACAATTGGGGCCTCGGGAGCTGAATCGACGATGATCACAGGTGAGGGAGCAACCGGAGCAGGGTCGACGACGATCACAGGTGAAGGTTGTGCGATCGGTGTTGGAGATCCTCCATCGACGATGACAGGCGTAGGAACAATAGGCTGAACTGGCTGCACGATAGCAGGGCCGACAGCAACGCCGAATAAGTCTTCGAGCATTTGCTCAAGTGCAGCTGCGGTAGCTGGGTGAGTGCTGGGGCTGTTGATGGCGGCAATAATCGCCTCCACTTCAGCATTTCTTGGACCTCGCACTACGGCCGATGAGGCCACAGCGACTACTGCGACGAATGCCAATAGGAATTTCATTTTGCCTCTGCAAGAGATATAAATATTTAATAAATTTTAAAACAATCAAATATACAATGTTGTTATTATTTAAAGTGATTATAATAGAAATTAATCGAGCACCACTATAAGAGAACTTACATTTTTACGCCTTTGGAAAGACTATGGATCTACGACGGCTTAGTGGGATTTTATATGAGACATTATCGTGATATGGAGCAGTTATCAGTAATATTTATGATAACTTCGAGACAACTCGGAAATTAAATTTAATAAAATTTAGGAGAGCTATAATGAAATATTGTGAATACTGTTTACACATGAATGAAACACGCCGAGATTTAGTTTCATTGTTTTGAGAAATATTGTCGCTGTTATTTTCTAAGTTACTGTAACAGATAATTAAACTTGATATGAAGAAATAATTGATCCTATATTTCCTCATATAGATCCTATATTTCTATACAGAAGTAGTATATACCCCCAAAGAGCAAACCAAACTCTTTTAATTTTCAACTCTATAAAGCATTAGTACTAGCTTAAGAAAACCAAAAACATACATTTATTTTATATTACTTTTATTATTACAAGAGAATATTGAAATGCCGTTTACATAATACACGTAAAAGAGACACTAATATTTAACAATGGACCTACGAGTAATCGAGTGACTGCATTATTTTTAGTTTACGTTTTTATATAATCGAGTATTTTACCATCTAATTAATTCATAAATATGGAAACAGTCTCAAAGCCCGCAATGTAAAGTCTGACGTGCAAGTGTGTGTACTAACTGACGGAGGTCCATTATCTATCATTGATGTGTGAGGAAGTCATTGCACTAATAATATTGGACTTTAGAAACATAGTACAATAGTTAAATGCAAATTATTAAGATTCTATTGAGTTACGTTAACATTAGTAGAATTGGTCTGCTGGTAGCTAATAGCGTTCTAGTATTTCATGATTTTTCTAAATGTTAAAGATATTTGGAATAATACTAGATATCCTGATGATGTCTAGCTGAGAGACTTGTGCAATATCATCACCCTTTTACGTCCCCACTGCAGGGGCTCAGGCCTTCCTTATGGACGGTTAAGAAGGGTGGGCCATGACGCTGGCCCAATGCGGATTGGAAGGTATTAACGACTGCAAATGCAGCCGGGACCAACGGCTTAACGTGCCTTCCGAAGCACGGAATAGCTCGAGATAATATTGTTTTTTGGTCACCCATCCCGTGACCGACCCTTGCGAAAGTTGCTTAACGACTACGATCGCGGGCCGCGGCGCTTATCCACTACTCCACCGAGCTACTCAATATGTGTAATATGTGACGATTAAATTGAATATTACTACCTGAATGAAATGCCGAATACTTCATATACAGTATTTTAGTTTATCCATACATGTTGCTAGATTATATTAATTTAAACGTTCATTTGGTGCAGAAGAAAGACATATAACGAGTCTCGCTACAAAATATTGGCGTAACAGCCATGTCGTGGCGTCATGCTTTGTTTTAAAACTTTTTGAAACATGTCGATAGAAGTTTGTTGGGTTATCTATATTTAATATTTCTCGATGAAATAATTCATCCATAATCTTTAACATTTTAAAGCAATTCTACAATAGATTATTTCTGCTTGCGTAGAATAATAAAACATATTCAATTACCTTTGAAATTATCAAATTGAACTATAATTTTAATAATATATTATTACTAGCAATAAAGATTCAGCGGAACAAAATGCTTTATGATAAACATTTAAAATTTACAATATCGAAGATAATTTATTATTACCGAGCTTAAGATATCGTAAATTACTGTCATTTCTTTGGATTCTCTGTTATCTACTTTAAGGGTACCGCACCTCGAAGTGAAAAACTCGGAATCATTTTAAGATCATTATTCATTCATACATTCAGGTACCTAAAGATCATAGGAAACAAATAAATTATCATAGAAACAAGAAAAACTAAATTGCTAAATATAGATTACAGGGTATCTATTAGTCTTAGTCTTTGGTTTTTAGAATCTATTTATTTGTGCGGATGCCGAACCCTTTGCTCCCGAGTCCGACTCGCTCTTAGGCGGTTTTTCCTAGTAGGTAAATTAATATTTAATTTTCGTTCCGATTACCGTTACAATATACTCCTGTATTTCGGTCTTAGTTGTCACAGATACAATATCAGGTAAAAACCAAAAGAAAATATATACTGCTACTAGAATAAAAATTGAATTAATATCTACATTGAATATTTAAAACCTGCCTATTTAAGTATCTGAGCAACGTTTTTTGATTTAGTTTTTTTTGTGTGGTTATGAACTATTATCTTAATTCGAAGGAAACGTAAATAAAATAGTTACAAGACTTTCTTTATAGAACTGTTTTGATTTCATTTGAGAAGCTGTCAAATTTATCAAACGTTCCATGATTTTCAGGTTCACATCACTGTATTTTTTTTACTTAAAAAAAGGTTAACCACTGCAATGCTCCATCAAAATGCAATTCTAACTCCTTGTGCAAACCTGTAAAATTTTTATAGCACTTCATGTGATATACGTTACCATAATTTGGCTTGAATTTGAACAAAGCCTCATAACGTCATCATCAGCCGTAAGACGCTCACTGCTGAGCATAGTCCTTCTCCATAAAGCGTAATAGAGCCCTCATAGAGAATAGCCTCATAACACTGTTTCAAATGGCTATTTTTTGAGACTTATAACAACTAATAGAATATATGTATATATCTTGTTTGGTTCACAACACTATCCTTTTTATAAAGAAGAAGAAGAAGTTTACTTGTTAAATTTTTACTATATATCTTGGTGACAGTTTGCAAAATATACGATTCCTTTGTTTGCTGTAATTTACTCATTACTTATTAGTTAATATACATTTTTTAAAAGAAGAACATCATAGAAATCATGTGGAAAAAGTTTCTTTCGAAATTTCTTTGTCAATTCAATTAACCTATTACAATAGAACAGCAATTTCTTACTTTAACCTCTAATAGTTTACATTGTGGTAGAAAATATTAAAAAGTAAAATTAACATTTTCTATCTTTACAAACGTGATATTGGAATATTAATTTGATTCTGTTGTTTATTTGATAATAACTTTCCGCCAGCGGCTTCTCCCGTTTCAGATAAACGTTTCAGATAAAAAGCCTAGCCAATATATTAATACCAAATTTCAATCAAAACACGTCCAGTAGTTTTGCATGAAAGAGTAACAGATATACATACATCTACGCATCCTTACAAACTTTCGAATTTATGAGTTTAGTATAATATGTATCGCTGTCCATAAAACCGGATAGTTTCACGGGGCTATTGCACAGGGAGGGATCAACGGCATGTAGCATCGTATACAGAGGAAATATATTTATTTTTGTTCTTCTTAGCTAGGTGGTTTTACTAAAAATAGAGATTAAAACTGTAATGGAAATTTTATAATTAAAAAAAAACAATAAAATTGTATTATCTTATCATTTAAAGTAGTGAAAATCCATAGCATTTCGTCCATTCAATAAATCTCATTCATTATATAGTAACTTTAAATTATCTAGTTTATTACCGAACACTGTAAAATACATTAACAACTTACTATCAAATACCTAAAAGATAAAGATAATAAATTACGTAAACATTAACTTTCGTAAGTATAACAAGTTAACATCGCGAACTTCATACTATTAGCTCTGACAGTTCGGTGATACTTTTTTTTATAACACAGTGGAAAAGAACCTTATACCTTAAATCAGGAATCTTCAACAACCATGTCCTGAAAAGAACAGGTAGAAGCTTGGTAGGCCTACCTGGTAAAACCCACTGCAAGACGCCCTTTTTGGAGGGAGCATCCGGGATCTAGCAGGAGACCGCCGGATATAGCTTGGTCATACAAAATGATTCGATAAAATCAATAGTCTTCTTTATAGAACGATGCCTTGTAATACTCGTGAAGGTGTCTTCTTTGTTTCATTATTTATAAACATTGATGCTTTCAATGCTGAACAGATATTTTTCAAGGCTTTACGTTAAAGCAAATCATAATAGAACTTTTGAAATTTATGTCTAAAAATAATTAATGCTAATTACGATAATGGCTTAATATTAAATTAATTATCTATCGATATGGATTTATAACTACTAATATCACCAGCGCGGATGTTAGATACTGGAAAAAGTGAAGTGCTGTTGTGGAAAAATTTCAAAGTCTATCTCAACGCCGAACACTACCTCAGTACAGAGAGTTAATTAAATAAAACCTTCTTCATAAGGAAATAAAGTTTTCATTTAATTGACCCTGTAACAGCGTTGTGCAACGCTTCTGATTTTTTAATTTTAAATGATTTTCTAATAGTAAAGCAGGTGATGGCAGCTCTCTACGAAGTACGAAAATGGTGACAGAATTAAACGTGCCACGTAATAGTTAAAATTATCGAGAAACTTGTTTTTATTATAAAAATAGAAGAATATAAGACCGTACCATTGTCGAACAATTTTTTTTTCATAACGTTAACGATATTTTTACTTAATATAGGTAGTAATAAAAGGTACCTCATTTAAGATATACTTTAACAACGAAAAATTGTGTTCTTCTGTTTATAGAAAATTGCTTCCTTAATTCCCGTTCAATAACATTTCAGATTTAGTAACTATTTTTTTCAAAAGAAAACACAAGACAATAAAGAAGGCGCCGCTGTTCTGATAAATTAACATCGTAAAAGATATAAAACACCCCAGAGAAATAATATTGTTGAAGCTCTTCTGTAGTGAGTAAAGTCACTAAAACTATGTTACAACTTCCCATGCAAGTGTCGTAATATCCCTTCATCGTTCATTACTTTATTTAGCATATGTCTCGTATGATTAAAGTGACCAGACGTCCCGTATTGAACGGGACTGTCCCTTTATTCGAACACCTGTCCCGTTGTCCCCTTGGGACTTAAAATAGTCCCGTTTTCTAAAACCGCGCGAAAAATTGAAATATTGATGCGTGTTAGAAATCGAGAG